CTTTGTCCTCAAGCTGACATCTCTGCTCTACAACACTTTAAATAAAGTTCCTGTGCAGCAGATTTGCCCACTGCAATACATCGTCTGATCTCTTGACTGCTGCTTTTGTGAGTGTTGATAGTTGATCCAAGAAGAATGAAGTCCTTGACAACTTAAATCTCTTCTCCGTTGGTAAGTATGGATATGTGGTATATATCCATTCTATTATCATTCCAAGATGAACTTCAATTAAAATTCAAGTGTGTGTTTTTTAATGGTTGACGTATTTTGCTTATATAATCGAGAAAACTGCTTTCATAAAGGAAAACATCAATTTGAGGATATTATGCCTCGGGTTCTATTGGGTTCTTTTTTATATAAAGTTGAAAGTGTCTTTTCATTTAGCTCTGTATTTATTTGCTCTGGGTGGATGGAGGTCAGAGTTTCTTTTAATGAAAGCTATATATTTCTTCTTACCAAAAGTGCTCATAAATACATGAAGTGTTTTCTAAGCTGTTTTCACATGGTTTCTAAGTTTCAGATTAAAATTCAGTTAAAGATAAGGCCTATCTAGAAAAATGTAATGTCATTAGTATAATAATGTAATATAAAAGCAACATATCAAAGCAACAGTATAAATATGCTTACAAATTATAGCTTAAAATGAAAATTAGCAGTAGTATAAATTAGAAACTTTAAAAAATATACCGTATTTTAAAAATAATTGCATTTAAAGACAAAATCTTGAAAAGTGTACTTTTAAACTCTTTAGGGGTATGAGGGTGTGTTGCAGTGAATTATTCAATGTCTTCTCACCATGTTGTTGTTCAGTGCCGTCAAGTCAGTTCCGACTCATAGCAACACTGTGTAAGGTTTTAAGGAGTAACCTTGTGATTAGCAGTCCAGTGCTTTGGAAACTCTCACCAAACAACTTTTTCCTATTAAATCTTGTGTAAGAGAAGGTGGGAGAAGGTATTGATAGGATGATATGGTTCAGTTGTGAGTCGTTGTTAGCAGACCTAATTAGATTGTAAAAACCTGGAACTCTAGAGTGGGTATAAAATAAGCCATCTAAGAAGAAGGAACAGGGATCTTCCTACCAATTATGAAAGAAAAGCCAGGAGTGGAGCGTGTTACTTTGGAACCTTAGTATTTAACCTCCTGGACCCAAGAACAGAAATCTACGAGAGTGGAAAAGTTGCAGAGGAGCAGTAACAGCAGAGCTTGATACAGAGCAGTGGGCTCCCCAGCATATGGAGCAAGTAAAGCTGAGGGATTTAAGGCAGGAGGCTTGCTTGCAGAGTGTGGTGCCTCCAGCCACTTAGTTGGGCATGCTAGTTTGGCTGACTCATGGAAACAGTCTAGTGCCTTTACACTGAGGCTTATGGTGGAGTGGTATGCTCTGAGGGCATTTATCAACAACCCTGAAAGAGCTTTGTAACATTGCCGAGCCAGGTCAAGAGACCAGTGACCGAGAGATCGAGAGATCGAGAGATACCTCCTCTGACTGTGGGCCTGGCAGAGGAAATGTCATCTTCTTTGGGAGGGAGGGAGCTGGGGTGGGGGTGGGGAGATCAGGGAGAGATGTACACCAAACCACTCAGGAATATATAATCATTTAAACAACCAAAGGCCACATTCTACAAGCCTACTTCTTCGCTGACAGCAGTCTTTCTCTTTCCACGAGTCTAGAATCTTCAGCGGCTTTATCTCTCCATGTCTTCATCTCTGCCTCTATCTCTAGTGTCGCTGCTTGTCTTGTTAGGGTCCCACATTCTGCTCATGCTCTTTTCCCTTGATGGTCCTAGGGTCCTCTGTTCCTGGACTGTAAGATTAACTACTCCCTCTTTAAGGAAGCACTATCTTGACCAAAAAAACTGTGTGCTGAGCATCTGAACCTGCACTGTAATCAGTTAACTTCCCTAACAGACCCTATAAGTCTGAGTATAGTGTCTGAGTTCTGAGTGGCCAGTGCAATGAATTATTGCACCTAGATGAGAAGTAGAGGGTGCTGTGGTAGTAGGCACTGTTGTGCCATTTTTTGCAGAGGGCAAGTCAAAAAGCATTGCTACAACATTTACCAGAAGACAAAATGTTCAGAAAAGTTGGGAAAGAAGGAGAAATGGAAACTAGAAACACAGGGAGGAAGTGAGGTATGTGATGTTACATTGAGGAGATTGCCTCAATGAAATGAAACAGTGTTTGTTCTGTTGAATGTAAAATTGATGATCTGCTCTGGAATACTTTTTGATTTACCCTCATATTTGAAATTTGTCTCAATTTTTCTTTTTTTATGGAATTCATTAGTTTGAATACATGGTCTGTGCTGGAATCATATAGCTAACATGGTGTTATTATCAAATGCTGACGGTTTTGTATGCAGGCACTCCCAGAGCCATACCTAAGAATGTCTTTAAATTGAATATGTAGGTAAGTCAGAACAGGTGCCTATAGTACTTATTTAGCCTTCCTTTGGTATAACAAAAACTTTTTCAGTGATTTCAAACTGCACAAGAA